TCCTGATGAGCTGCAACCCAGTCCACAGAAAAGAAAAAAAAAAAAAAAAAAAACCCATCCCCCCACCCCCAAAAATAATTTCCTCCCACTTTTTCGGAATGTGCCACGTTAAGCACATCTGTTTTTTATTGCTTTTAATTTGCCATTAATAAACCATTCCAAGGCGACCGTCGGTCGTCCAAAAATGCTAATTTATATATAGATAGATGTACTCTCCCGTTTATATAGTAATAAGTAATACATATTTCTGTGTATATATGCTTTCGGGGAATCCAATTTGAATTTAGCCTAACTCTGCCAATTTATTTTGGGGGTACAGCCCAGCTAATGCCTCATAAGTCAATGAGTTTCTGGCATTTTTATGGCTTATGAACAGACACCGAAGTGGCAAAGTGGCGGGGGGATGGGGTCAGGTGGAGTTCCACAGCTGTTGGGCGGAAAAACTCTCCTTAACTTGGCGAAAAGTTTCCCAGACGGAGTAATTTCCATTTCCAAAACATTGCCTTGCGTTCAAATTGCTCAGAAATATTAAAAACAAAAACCATCGCTTAGATATTATATTTCATTTTTAATATTATTTAAATTATTTTGAAAGTATTGAGCAGGCTTATGTTTGCCTTTTGTTTTTCCAATAGATTTTAAAGGTACATTTTTCCATAAACAATATAAAATGTTATTCAAAACAAGTATATTAATATAAAATAGCTTTATTTTTGTCCAGAATATATTTTTTATCTTAAAAGCGTAGCCAAAAAATGTAACCAATAAAATTCCCAATGACTTCTTAGACAAGTCTGAAAGTGTAAATGATTTTGCTGCTACAAAAGAGCCTAGTCCAGAATTACCCACACTATTTCACCTGTATTTCAGTTGGGGTGGGTGCTTAATTCCCCCACTTTTTGTTGGAGACAAAGAATCGCTGCTTTTGAGACAGGACAGAGCAACATCAAAGATTCTGTCGAGCGGCCTAAACAAGAGAATTCTCAGTTCTCGAGGCTTTCCACCGGCCCTCGGGCATTGGCAAAAGCCATGCGAAATTAGCCAAAAGTAATCCTTTAAGTTTAGTGCCCAAAAATTGCACACAATTGTCAGAGTCTCGGTGTCCTTCTTGCGTTTCCCAGCCACATCCCAAAGAAGACCCCACATCCCCAGTCCACATCCAACATTGTCAGCCACCGTTGATGACATTGTGTAAAATTTTGTTGCTGCTGTCGTCGCTTCGTGTTGGCGTTGTCGTTGATGTTGCTGCTGCTGCTGCTGCACTTGGCAAAAATATCCTTACAGTTCTTAAATATATATTAAATAAATATTTAAATTTATAGGCAAAAGCCAGTCATTTATTTCACCCAAAAAGAACGATCAAAATGGTCCCTTAAACGATACAATAAGCATGTGCTGAAGAATTCGCGTTTTGCCATTTATTCCATTTAATTGTGACAATATTTTTTAATATTATTTAAAGTTAAGGCAATTTAAAAATAAATACATTATTTAACAATTTTGAAAGTTAATTATTATTATTTCTTTTAGTGTCTACTAGCCGCGACTGCCTCCACTGGCTGGCTATAAAACTTTTATAGTAAAAAGTAAATGCCACAAATGAGCAATCGAAAATTTCGCATTATAATGCAAACTGTGTGCATTTTTCGGGGTTATTGTAGTCGGCTTTCGGGCGAAAAGACAAACGCATACCGGCGGCAAGGAACATGGAACAGGGAGCCAAATACAAGGACCAAAAATCCAAAGCCAAGGCAGTCGTCATGGTCGCCTCGCTTTCGTCTCGCTCTCTCTCGCCTCTATTAATAATAATAGAATTTTTGGAAAATTTTCAGCACAGAGGAAAAAGGAAAAGGAAGCGCCGCCTTTCGGCTCGCGATTTTTGCATTTGACAACGAAAAGCGAAATGAACGAGTTGGGTTTTTGCCCACCATTCCATCGCGAAAATGAAAATGATAAACCCATTTCCCACCGGACTGCATTGCATAATTCAGCGAAGTCTGGGGCTCTCCATTCTCCGTCCTGCCTGACAATAATGCTAATAATGATAATGATTATAATGCATGAACAAAATATTCCCGGAGATGCCGTCCTTTGTCTATCGAACCATGGACTCCGTGGAGCTCCACTTCCCCGCTGTTTTGGCATCTAATGAACTTCTTTATGGCTGCATCATTCGCATAGCTAATGCGGAGTGTCTATGGCGCCCAGTTTTCCCGTTTTCCCGTTTTCCCATTTGCCCCGTTTCCACGAAAATTTAACAAGCTCGTTTCAAAAATGCCAACGCAATTGGACTAAATTCAATACAAGAATTTAAAAAGTTGCAGTTCTGAACATTAAAATAAAATCAAATAAAATAAATACAGATATAAGGTTGGTTTATTTAGTTTTATTTTGCATAAGCAGTTTTTAATTTTAAATACATTTTTTTAAGATCAAATTTTTTTTGATTCTACTCATTGCTCGTGTAATTTTTTATTTGAAATTTTAGCTCCCAATAAAATAAAACATTTAGATGATTTTTGAAGACTAGGAATTTATATTTAAAGTTACTAACTTTGGAGACTAGTTAGCCCATCTAATTTTTGTGTATTACGGATGTACTTGAGGAACTTTTTCAACGATTATGTAATTATATAGTCATTATTATTTATATTTTGATATTTCTGTGATACCGGGAATAAATGAAATTTGCTTTAGTTGTTGCTCGTTCAAAGTCTCAGTATAAAATGCCATATATCAGGATGTTATAGTTTCAATAAAATTAAATTTTAATATAACTGCCGTGATAATCCAATCTCTTAGTGCCCAAATGTATCCCGGCGATACATTATCGATAACGAAGTGGTGCTATGAGATGGCAAACACCTTCGCTACGCCCATTAATTTTTACTGCTTTTGGGTTTTCAATTTTCCCAAGCTCGCGGAAAAGCCACGTGGACCAGAATGCCATTTAACGCTGCATAGAAAATCAAACGCGAAAGGTCAAAGACAACGGCGGTGGGTGATGGGTGGTGGGGGGTGCTGTCTATGGGGTTATGGGTTTGGTGGGTGGGTTGCTTTTAGGTTATCACCTTGTGATATATGCCAAAAATAGAGAATCTCCCTGTGTGTCTGCAGCATCATCTTGTGCCATCCCCCGCCGCCCGAAAATCCGAATCCAGTGAACCACCGAAAATGGACAGAGGACCAGTAACCCTTCATCGAGTTGGTTGTTCGTTGGGGGGGGCGGGGGGTAGGGCGTTTTTTGGGGGGCAAAAACCGGCAGTGTTGATTTAGGGTTGCAAACAGAAATTATGATAATGCCTGTGAAAACAACGGGCACGGGAGATAGAAACAAGGAGTCGCCGAGTCGCCGAAAGCAAAGGAAAATATATTAAATGTTATTGAGAGGAACTAATTTTCATTAAAAGGATTAAAAAGCATTTGGCGAAAAGATGGAGTCTGCATAGGGCGGCGATGGGCGGGTGTGGTGGACTGGCAACCGCGACGTCGTCGCTGGTTATGAATTAACATAAAAATCATAAAAATATGACACTATGAAAAGGCAACGCCACCATGGCTATCAGCATTAACATTTTTCACAGGGGCTGCGGGGAAAAGGGGTAAGATTTGTGAAACTTCAAAAAAAATTAAAACAAAATTTTGGGTTACAAAAAAATTATAAAAATTTAAACAGCCAGCAATGTTTAAATTTTTATAATATTTTTTTGCATTTTTAGTCTAAGCCAAATATTTACTTTAACAACTTAATTTAATTTTTTTTTAATTTTTTTACAACATATTACGTTTTATTATCAATGTTTCACATGCATAAAACAACCAAATTGCTTTTCACTTAGTAAATTTAAAGTAATTTCTTCTATAATGTTTTGGAACACTACTTACTATTAATATTATAACTTTAGTTTCCAGTGCACTTTTCTAATAATAATTGTAGTATTACATACTAGTTTTAATTTAATAAAATAAATAAATATTAATATTAATATTTTCTTATCCATTTTTATTCAAACGTATGATTATTAAACTATATGGCATCTCGTTTATTCGGATTGAGATATATTTATCATTATTAAATGATGTAAATTATTTCGTTAGCACATATACTATTTTTGGAAATTTTAGTTTGCTTATATTTAATGATTTTACTTTTTCTCTTAGATGGAAAGAAATAATATCGTTTGTAAGGTTAAACTATTTTCGGTCCGTAAGAGTTCCTCTGAGGAACCCCTTTTCCTTTTGAGAGCCACTGACCATTATTATCATCGTCATCATGATGAACGCATGATGCTCATTAGAAGGGGGTACTACGAGAAGGGGCGAGGGGAATCCAGTGGAGGAGGCTGGAAGGGGTGGCCATTGATGGCAACGCGCGACAATCAACACGAGGCAGCGGTGGGTGGTTTGGTTGGATTCCGGGTGAATTCCGGGTGGTTCGGGTGCGAAGTTACTTGGATTTGGGTTCGGTTCCGTTGGGCTGGAGGATTAGTAATGGCCAGGACTGTGTGGGCTAAAGGTGGGCAGAGGAGCAGCGGAGCAGCGGAGCAGCTCGTGCTTGGCATCATTTTGATGATACCAAATGCTGATGACGATACCATCCCACCCACCATTCCACCTCAACCCAATCCAAATAGCATTTCCTTTTGGCATGGGACGTTGTTTGCTTTTTTGTGGGCGTCGCTGCTGCCACTTAGTAACTCACCCGCAGTTTATTATTTTCAAAATATTTAAATTTTTTGGTAATAAGCGAAAAATGGTTTTAATATAACCGAATGGGCGTACCGAAGCGGACGTGCCTGATGACGATGATGATGATGATTCTGATGATTCTGCTGATGTTTCGTAGGTAATCCACCTGGTGGAGCGTTTTTGGAATAGGATGAGTTTCGGGGACATTACGGGGATGATTGGCTTACCCAGCACAAACGGATTATCCCGGACATAAAGTCACCCAAATTGATACGGTATTTATCTGCAATGAAATAATTACAACCACAAGCTCCTGTTCTACATACATGATCTATGTGTATTTTATTATTAACTCCACTTGCCATTTCAAAAAAAAAAAAACCGTATTAATATCCCTAAAATTATTTGATTCGATTTACATGATTGATTTGCAAAAATAAAATTGTGACATGCGTTAAATCACATGTTTTGCATTTAACATCTGAACGAATTAAACAAATGTCAATTGTGACGGAATCGGAATCGGAATTCTGGGATCGCTTGAACTATTTCGACTCCGCTTGACTGGGGGATATATTTAAATAGAATTGATGGGTTTCTGGTTCGATTGGCATATTAGGTGGCTAATTTTGAGTTTGAATTGTTAATCCTTGGGATTATTGATTCTGCCCCAATAATTTTGCTGTTGCTGGTATTTCAATTGTTGCTGTTGCTGCTGTTGCTGTTGCTGCTGTTGGTTTTGCTGCTGCTGTTGCTGCTGCTGTTGCTGCTGTTTCTGTTGCTGCTGTTCCTGTTTCTGTTGCATGTGCATCAGATGCAAGTGTTGCTGGCGATTGCGAGCGGGATCAGCACCACCACCCTCCTGCCCCGTGGCCGTGACCCTACTGCGTTTGTAGCTCTTCACCGATTCCTCCCAATCGCGACCCATCATCTCGCGGGAAATCTCATCGGGACTGCGCATGAATTGCTTTCGCAGCGAAGTCGGCTCGGTTTGGCGGAAATTGGGGCGATAGGCCAGGGGATCGCGGGGATTCAGCCACTTTGTATCGATATAGCTGCGATCGCGCCACATATTATCCTCCCTATTGATGCGACGCTCCAGAGCCCCTCGATTGGCACCGCGCGAATAGGAGGCCGCATCGCTCATCACCGTCGATGTGGCACTTGCCCGCGGAGGTCCGCTCTTGGGCATCTTGTACCCGCCGCCGCCCTCGCCGCTGCCACGCCCCCTTCATCCTGGCCCCACGAACCGGAAGCATAGGTCCTTCGAGAACTGCGCCCACTGCCGTCAATCATCCCGATGAATCCCGGACGCACAATGTGCCAGGCAATTAGTGGGTAAGTCGAACGCTGCATATCTCTATAAACAAACCACAATGGGTATATTATTATTAAATATATAAATATAAATTAAAATTTGCAAAGTAACATAATTATATACTCTTGAACTAGAAATGTGAACTAATGTATATTATGTTATACCGATTGTTAGCAATATCAGGAAACTTGTTAAATTTTTAAATAAAAATATACTATTTAATAAAAAAACAAAATATATATTTTGAATAAACCGAACAGTATTTCCTGAAAAGTAGGCTTCGATTTCAGTGTTACCTAAATAATTTAAATATATATTTTTCACAAAAAAAACAGCAGACCCCTTTTTTATTAACACCCTGCGCGGAAAACTTTACCATCCTTCTGCATTTCTAAAAACAAATCCTGTAAGCACCGACAATTCGCTAATATTCAATGACTTCATTTCAAATTTGGACCACGTTTCAATATAAAATACACATTCACCGAAAAATCACACAAAAAAAAACGTACCTTTTAAAATAAACTTTTGATTTGCTTTACAAAATCTGCTGCGACAAGGTTTCACCATATGCTTGATAAATTTGGAATTTTTGGTAAAAATTTTACTATAAGATTTCGGCTCTGGTGTTGCCTGTTGAAATTTCTAAGGTTAAATGAGAAAAATCCAGAGCCCCAACCGAACGACGCAAAGGGCAAAGTTACACTAGCATCAAAGCCAGCTTGAGCCAACGAATTTAGAGTATTTAGAGTGAAAACAATCTCAAATCCTACTAGATTCACAATTTTTACTTTCGATTTGGCTTAGTCCATATTTTATAGTTAAATCAATTTTACGTTGAACCCAATTTTGCGTAATAAATGTATTTGTATAGTATAAGAAACTCTTAATATTTATCAACTGTCTTCGATTATAGAAAGTAGTTATTTGTAGATACAACTTTTACTTTTGAAAAAAGCTTCATAAACGATTTTAGATAAACATGGACTAAGGATATATAAATTTATCTTCAGGATACCTGGAATGTCATAAATTAACTTTTAGTACTTACAATTTACTCGTACTCACTATTTTATTCTTATGGCAATTCTTGTGCAAAACAATTTTATTAAATGTTCCTTGGTTTTTAAGGCCTTTCTATTTTCACAACAATGCAATGATTATTCCTATGCCTTTTGCCTTGTATGTGAGTATAATTATAGGGACCAGGTCTTGAAGAAATTGCAATTTTGTGGCGGTACATCCGCCTGGGGAAATCCAACTGAATCCGGGGCCCCACTGGCGACCATTAACTGCCTGAGTCGGTACTTTGGACTTCTTCGACTTAAACGTTGACACTTGAACTCTTTTTGATTTCGCATATGTGCGTGGGCGCTGAACAATGGCACAATTATGTTAAATATCGACAAGTGGCCATCCAACCGCAGCTTTTGTTGTGGGGAAATATTAAACACTCGTGGCGGCCACCAACAATCGAAATTCTCGGAGCAAAAAAAATGAAAAATTAAAAGAGCAAAATGTTCAGAAAAAAAGAGGTTGAGGACCTCGCATGTGCAAAGTTACAATTGTACAAGAAAAAGTTGTATTTCATTCAATTGAGAATGAAATGTTTTCATGGACTTTTCCCAGAGATATTAATGTAATGATAGAAAAGCTTGTCAAATGCGTTGAAAACGAAATAGACTCAAGATCTTTATACTGTATTTTTTGCATGTAATCAACATATTAAAATAAATTTTGCTTTAAAATTATTTAAACGTTATTTACCTAATAAATGACTGCATATTAGTAATCTTATATAACATAATTTTTGTACATACCAACCCTTTCTGGAACTTCCATTGATCTTCGACCTGGCATTTCAAAAGGGACCATTTTCTTGGTGAATATAACTTAATTATGCAATCTAAATGCATTGAATCACCTCAACCAAATGACAATAATCATAATGACAGTGGGCGGGGTGAGGAAAATTGTTATCCACCAAAAATGTTAACTCATTTGTTGTCCTTTTTCAGTTGGCTCGCTGACAACCAAGAAAACCACACAGAAGGGCAGGTGGAAATCGAGGGGGTTTTCCTTAGCGAAAATAAGAGAGAACGACAAATCTTTGCAATTTATTTACGTGCCATTTCGTAGCGAACATTTTCGTTAGATTTTCCCCATTCGCCTGGCGGAATTCCAAGACGACTTCAGTCAGGAGGTCCAAGTACCTCTGCCATTTCCCAATTTTTCAGTACCCCCTCCTTCCTTCTGCCTTCTTTGGTTTTTTGGCGACGACAAAAGTCATGACGCGCTGATGACGTTGCCAGTGGAAGGATTTAATGGCACATTAAGAATTTTATTACCGACCAACAACAACAACGTGGTAAGGTGCTAAAGAAGGGGTACGAAGGGGAATGGGGGGGAGGGTTTTAAGAAAGAAGCACCTTGGCAGAAAAATTTTTCGCGCGCGTACACACAAAATTTTTGACAACCATTTGCCATGAAAATCTTTCGGTGTCAACAGAAAATTTTCATTTTCATTTTGGTTCATTTTCATTGGTTTTAGCGCGTTTATTTTTTTTTTTCTTTTTGTGTTACTTCATTTTTGCGTGGAAATTTGGTCCTTGTCAGCGAAAGGGTGTGGCTTTTAAGGGGGTTAAGGGGGGCTTTGTAGAGCTCCATCTTCACCGCCTTATCCCGGAGTTTCCATCGTCTCGTTGGCTAAGACGATTGTCATTATTACAAGTTTTGCATAAATGAATGAATGACATTTATGTATTTCATTTAGCCAGAGCCGAGGACTCGAGTTAAGAAGCTGAAGTGGTGACTCTGGAGTGGATAAGGGAAACGTAGGGTGCTACGAAATGGTACCAGAGATGGCAAAAATGAACCTGTTCTAAAAAAAAGCATTTGCTTTAAGTACCTGATCCTAAAGAATTCACGGTTTTAAGCACTTAAAAGTTTCATTTTTTGGTTTGGCTTACCTTATAATTGTTTAAAATCATTAAAAAGAAGTTATCTCTTGAAGTAAATTCAACTGATCAGCTTAAAAATATAGTGTTGCATACTTTTAGTCACCTTCATTGGTGATTTAAAAATGTTAGTGATTTCTTTGGCAACGAAATAAAACTGAAATCATGTGGGATTTTCGAATACAGCAATAAATAGCTTAATATTAAATTTTCAATAGCTGAATGGGCTTGAAAGTGCCATCACTGGTTGGTAAGGAGGTGGTAAGGTCGCCAAAGGGGGCAGGTAAGGTGGTAATGAGGGGTTGGAGGCCATTTGGTGGCCTGAAATGATGCGCGAGTTTTTCAAATCTTTATGCCCTTTGTTTGATCAACTTTTGCCGGAGCTCCTCTGAGATTTTTGGACAAATGAGTGAGGATGAGCTACCGCCAAGGATGAGGTCAGGTGAATTCGTCGTGCCATTAACCCATTATGTGTCAGCGAAAATTTCAATCCAACCACAATTTCATCTTGACATTTGTGCATAATTGAATTAATTCCAAAATGGAATTCAGACATTTTTCGGTGGCGTGGCTGGGATTTGAAATGGCAGGAATGGGCTTTGAAAGGATTTCGGATAGACATAAAGATTTTTAATTATAAATGCTTTAAATTTAAGGTAGATAAAGGAAAGAACTGCTTAGTTTTAAAATTAACAAAAATAGGCCGTTAAATATGATAAATAGGTAAGCGATTTTCTATTCATTAAATAATTATTATAACTAAAGCAATATGGCAAATTTGAAGTGTATTGAACTGTCCCAAATATAAATGACAACACCACCCAACCAATTAGAAAGGTATGTGACCTTAAATAGCAGCTGCCATATTATCCCAGAACACAATCCCCAACCCAACAATTTAACGTCGATCCGTGGAACATCTGGAATGGAATGCGCAGGATAATAGAAGTTTTTTTTTCCCCTGTTATTTATATGCATTTTGGCCATCTTCTGCTCCCCTTTTTCTTAGGTTTTTGTTTGTGCAACCCTTTCGAGGGCTAACCTCCACTCTCTGCTTAATTTGAATGCATTTAAAAATGTTAAAATATGGGAATTGCCACGGCAAGGAATAAAAAAACCAGGCCGAATTTATCTGCAGAGACACGCACTTTGAACGTTAACTTAAGCGAGGGAGATGGCCATATAGTTCGGGCAGGCCTCGGTACACAAAAGATTTGTACGTGTTCCCACTTGATGAGGCCAAAACCCCCTCCCCCAAACCCAACTTTATCAAGCCCACACCCCTGACAAATACTACGCGCAAAAATTCAGTCAAAAAAAGAACTCACACAGCAAAGGAAAAAGAGTTAGCCAAGGATAAGGGCAATGGAAAGGAAATGGAGAAGGCGGTACACTGAAAAAATATCACCATTATTAATTTTTAATTAATTAATTTAAATTAATGTACCTTAAGGTAATAAAGATTTTAATAAAATTTTTTGGGTACTTAAAAATGTGCCATTACTAGATATTTTAAAACATTGCTTTGATGATAAATATTTCACGACATATTTAGAATTTCTACTCTTTACCATAGTTTTATACAGCTTATAAAGAATATGTTAAGAATTTTTAAGATTAATTTTTCTATAATACATCAATATGTTGATAAAGAAACATATGATTATGACTATTATGACTTCAACCGTATAGATATTGATTTTAGTTTTTTCCGGTGCAAACATAGGCATTATAATAAAAAAGAAATGAAGGGGCGGCGAGGGAAAGGAGTGGCGCATTACACGCCTCTCCACCCCCCCTTCCAACCCCCCTTGCCAGTGGCTCACGTTACGCCGAAAAAGAGATAATTTTATTTCATTAATCCTTTTTTGGGACAAATTCGCCGTCGTTTTTTTTTGTTTGTCGGACTCGCGTTTTGTTTGTTGCCATCCCATTCCTCTTCTGCTTTTTCAGGCTTCAGCTTCTGTTTTTTCTTGTATTCCGGCTCGGATATTCTGGGGCGTGGCTCGAACGTAATATTAGCTTAAAATTGTGTAAATAAAAATTACATTCGTAAGAAGGTTCCAGTGGCAGCAGCTGCTTAAGCCCCCATCCTCGGCCATTATGCGTATATCCTTTTTTTTTTGTTGGATCCCGGATCGGAATGGGGGTCACATGAATCAGTGACCGCAAGTTCTGGGTTCTTTTCGGGTGTGGGATAGTACTTTTGTTGTTTTTTTTACCCTGTCGTCGCCGTTTTAAGTACAGTGATGCTCGCCGTTAACTAGTTGGGATATAAACTTTAGAAGAAATTGGAAATTCTTATATCTCTACATTTTAAGATGTGTGTAAAGTATGTCTAGCAACTTAATATCTATAAAAATCATTGAGGGCGACACAAAAATAACTAGGGCTTTGAAATCGTTCATAAAGTTGTCTAATTTTGGATCTGGAAGATATATGTTTGATAGATTCATTCCAAAACGGGACGTTCTCTTTTTCCCCGCCTACTATTAGATTCCTTTTATATTTAATTTCAAGTTATTTAAGTCACTAATAATAATAAAACTATTATAATAATATCAAAAATTATATTATATTGCTTGAAATTTATTATTATTTTTTATTATTCAGAAATCACTAGACTTTTTGATATCACTTATAAAAGTGTCTAAAAGCTTTCAACAATATATTTTGAATAAGGAAGCCTGATGGATTCATTATAACTAATAACTACATGTTA